GCCCAAGCTTTGGGTTAAATTTGAGTAACTTCTTTGGCAAGCAGGTTTGGCAAGATGCCTTTTCAAATCTTGCCCAGTTTAGCACATCAAAGTAAACACCAGCATGGGGGCAAGGAAAATGTTGTCCTAATAAGGAACTCTGAATGAAACCCAAGATACGGGCGTATGCTGGCGTAGCTCTTTAAAACCCTTTGCATATTGTTGTAACTCAAGTTACAGCTTCAGCCAGAGATGATGTATGTCCTTGGAGGACACACAGCCCTTATTCCTGTGTGAACCACCCAACATCGTTCCCAGGAATGCTTGTTCTAGTCTCTCGTCTACTGTCAGAAAAATTCAGACCCAGCTCGGCTTGGCAAGGTTAGGAGAACAGAGCTTGTCAAGAGATTCCCTGGGCTGGGTTCACAAGATCTACCAGCCAGAGCCCTGAGTTGTGAACACAAGGACTGGGTTCACCTATGGTCTGGTTCATACTACTTGCTTAGATGATGGCTGAGCTACTGAGCCATGCTTTAGCCTAATCTGGTTATACATTAAATTTAGGGACAGTTACAATAGTTGTTTCCTTAAAGTTTCCTGGTTGAGTCTGTTTTTTTACCTCTGTCTTTTGCCCCAGCTTTTAATCCAAGGGGCGACTCAGAGTACTGCCTTCTCAGCCTCCAGAGTCATATCCTTCCCTAATAATCCTCCCAAAGTTAAACGGATGGGATTAATCTTGTTTTCTGCAAGAAATTAACTGGATTTTAAATTTAAAAACAGCCCCTCTAACCCCCCTCTCACCCTGGAAAAGATTCTGCCCATCTTTTCTAGCCAATCAACAGAGGCAAGAGGGGATAAGGAAGAAGAAAACGCAGGAGTCAGTCAAACAAGCTATTATTACTTTGCTTGCCAGGCAGGCTAATGTAGGCTGGTTCGGGAATCCATGGTTGAACCAACCATGGTTGAGCCAACCATGGTTTAGAGTGTGCCCAAATGCAAATGCTCAGCTCCTCTGTGATGAGTTTATTCCACTGGTCAACAAGCACAGCCTCTTTCAACATCTTCTTCGATGGTGAGAATTCACTTCTGGTGCCTGAAAACTGCCTCTCTTGGTCCCAGAAGAGCAGGTCTAATTCGATGTTGAGAACCACTAACTGCTGTGGTCCAACATTTGCTAGAAAAATGTTCTCCCATGGCTACTTGGAAAGTTGATTTATGACGGGTTTGAACAGCGTGCTTCCTCCAAGCAAAAGGTACCACGGTTGATGTAAGAACCCGGTTTTGCAGTTCAGCTGGATCTGAACCATGAACTCCCCCCCGCCCCGATTCCCCGGTTTAGGAGAAGGGAGAAAGTTCTAGAGCGTGACTCAGGGCTGAAGAGTAAACAAGCATCTGGAAGCACCATTACGCAGTGGTGCCAAAATAGGTCAGGAAAGCATGTCGGTGAGTCACTCGTTCTCGGGTGACTCGGCAGCTGAGACAGCCCCATGCCACCCACCAGCCTTCTTAAATTCCCCTTCCCTTCCAGGGAACCCACAAGCAGTGTGATGTTCAGCGTGTCGTGTGTCTTTTTTGCCAATCCCTAGACTATGCAGGAGGGGCTGGTGGGCCTCTAAAGCAAACTTTGCCCAACAGATCAGATAAGAGGCGCAAACGGATGGGTGTTTCAAAGGGATCTTGTTTTCCCCCATGGATCTTCATCCTTTACTATCATAGTCTGGGCTTAATCAGGCCTGGCTTTTTTTATAGATTTACAAACAAATGTTGATTTGTTTGCAGGTGGCATCTCTATGATTCTAGAAGTTGGGTGGGGATAGCTGTAAAGTTGATTGCTTTCATGCTATTTTCTGCTGCTGGCCTATGATCGAAATAAAGATTTAGTTGGCTTCTGTTTTTCTCAAGGCACTGCAGGATATGAAAATGGGGT